AATCACTTTCAAGCACAGCAGTCTCTCGCACATAAATTCTAGCATAAACTCTGAATACGCCTAAGTGGTGAAAAAGATAACAATGAATACATAATTAAAATTCATCAACCAAACATGTGACACTTTGTGGCTTAGTTTCACATAGACTAATGTTTGGTTGAAATCTTTGGCTCAATTAACAGCTTCCCTCTTCACTTTCCAACAGGCACGAGGAAAAAACAAGGATGTTAAGACTAAACTTATCATGGACAAAAAAAATGTTTTTTTTTTCTTTTAGAAATTCTGACATGTTAAAATATTTATTTCTTATGAGACGCTTATTGTCCCCACAGAGCAAATCAGTCTATGTCGATTTAAGCAAACATGCCATTTGAACTACATTGCTTTGGATGTATGAAACAGATACATGACTTAGATCATAAGGGTGTTATGGACATGACTTGTGCTCTTAAATTGACCGTCTTCTACTTAATGTAAGACCAAAATATCATTTTTACAGGAAAAAAAATATCAGAGCATAACATATATTATATTCAATGGCCTTGCAATCCCCAAATTGGCGTTAATATGTTCCAAAGCTATGGAGAAGTTAAAAAATCCACACATAAAGTAAATCTTTGACACATTGATATTGACCACTCATTCATCATCAATAATTTAGTTAGAAATAATAAGTATGAAACTGTGTTATCACAGCCGAGGTAAAGAACTCAAGTACACATACATGCAAGAATTGATTGAATAACAGAACACTTGTGCACAGGGAGCTGACATGTTTCTTTCACATGACCAAACCTACTTTCTCTCTTACACTCTCTCTCTCTATCTCGGCCTTGCCGTATAGGGCAAGACATCAATATGAGATTCTTCAAACGAAACGCAAATGGGCCACTTGTAGTCCATTGTTCAGAGCCACGACGCGCCCTCCGCTTACACACGACTGGCTTAAGTTAATCACAAAGACGAGGTCCTCCGTCACTGAGACACCGCATCGGAGGGCTGCCCTCAGGTCAGGCGCGCCCTCCCAGGAGTGACAACGACGACGTCACGTCCACTTGAGACGCCCCGGGGCCGGGGCTGGGCCCGGGCCGGCGTGCCGGCGGCGTCCTCCGTCCGCGCCTGTCAGGAGGCGGCCGCCGGCCTCCACGCGGCGCCCACTCTGGTCTGCTTCAGGGAGACTCAAACGGGCCGCTCAGCCGAACAACCTGCAAGCAACGGGACGGTCATCATCATGAGTATACGAGGGGTGACGCCGGCCGGGCGCCAGAGGACTAACGTTGCATCCTGGTCAACTACCTCGAGACCAGTGACACCGCCAGGCACGCCCAGAACAGCCGGACGGCGGGCCGCGCGGCTGCACCCTCTGCGAACAAACAGAAACACAAGCGGATGTTAGTGGCAAAATTGGCAGTATGTGTGGCAGGCGCAACAGCAGTTCAAAAGTACACATCCGCGAAAGAAGAACTCAATGCGATGCAATGCGGTGAAGGCCTCCCCCGCACAAACAAGCATGTGGCGGCTGATTTGTGTCTGGAGGGACATGCCGTCAACGTCCGCGCGTCCCCCGCGGGCCCGCCCGCCCGCGCCTCACGACGGCAGCCCGTTTCCCTTCGCGTCCGGCGCCGGCGAGCAGGTAAGGCGACGCGACGCGCGACGCCCACCGCCCGCCCTTCAGTTCCGACCGGTTCCGACGGGCCTGCTAGCGACACCAGGTAAACAGCAGGCGGCTCTTGCTGCGGGCGGGCAGGCCGGGCCGCGAGGGCCCCCTCTCGCCGCGGCCTCCAGTGTCCCGCCCCGCGAGTCGCCCCACCATTAGCCGGCCCGCGGAGCAGCCGCCCCGCCGCCCCCGCGGCGCTCCCTTTCATTGCTGCGAGTAAATTCAGCCGAGCCAAAAATGAGCTGCCTTAAACCACTTTGAGGGCCGTAACGAGGACGCCCACCGTGTCCCCGCACAGAGCAGCACCTCGCCGGGCCTCCCAGCCTCCCTCGCCGTCGTTCACCCGTCGTTTCACCGATGTCTCTGTCGGGCCTGAGCGGCGGCAAGAAACGGCTCTATAGAGAAGTAGATAGAAGTGCGTGGCTCGGATGGGCAAACGCACAGCGTCGGCGGAGGGGGTGGGGTGGGGAGGCGAAGCCGTCCATCACAAACTATCAGCCCACTTAGTAAACTCCTGGACCATGGCCCTCCTTTCCTCACTTAAACTTGGGGCGTGCTTCCCCCCTCCTCTCTACCGCTCCCCGTTCTCCTTTCCACTTTCTGATCGCTTACATTTCATTAGCTAACCACCCCCTCCCCTGCTTCCCCGTCCGACGCCAGCCTCCAGCTGACCGCATCTCTACGCCGCCGCGCCAACTGTAGTTAGTTCCAAGTTTGACCGCGACGGTGGCGAGCACACGCGGCGGAATAAAATTTGCCAGCCCCATCATAGCCCTCTCAAATTCAATCTGCAACACTTGTTGTGCTAGTTTCGGGGAAAGTTAACAAGTTGAGCGAATCGTTTGGTTCTCGGAGGCGGGGCCAGCGGCGGCAGTGGCAGGGATGATGGAGACCCACTCGGCCCTGCGCAACTTTTTGCTTCGTGCCGTCTGCGGGGTCGGAGGGGCGGCGGGGGAGGATAGCCCCCTTAGTAGTCGGGGCAGGCGCGTCCTGGCATCGCTGTTGTCTTCTATTATAGGCCTGTTTGCATGTCGAGAGAGCGCGACGAAAACTTTGCGCGTCACCGCCGCGTCTAGACCACGCGCAGACAATTTTACTTTTACGACGACGAAAAAACCGAAGGCCTGCCAAGCTGCGCCAAGCTGCTGCTGCTGCTGCAGACGCCCTGGAGGGTTGGGCCGCCCGTCCAGCACGAGTGCGTCCGTGCCGAGTCCGCGCTGCCCACCCCTCACGTGACGACCCCCTCACAGCTGGAACTCACGAAGGTGCCCGTTAAGCAGCAACCGCCGCCTTTGGCCGGGGCACCGCCGCACCCCCGGGCCTCCGGCCTCCGCGCCACGCCAAGCCACTACTGCGTCCCGGAATATCAAGAAACGCCGTTGTTGGGCCGTTGGGCGGGCGGCTTGCTTGCTTGGCCTCGGCCGCCGGCCCAGGCCCTACAGGGTTTTCTTTTTATTTCGCCGATTGTTTTATCGCCAAGACTTAGAGGGAATGTCATGCTATTCATTTCTATGATAATTTTTCAGCTTCCACGCCAAACGTTGAATAAACCATGCATAACCGCGTACTGCTCGGGGGTCCGTTCCTCCACCGCCCGCGCGCCGGGCCGCGCCGACACACTCGGCGCAATGTGCGCACGCCAGGCCAACGGCCTCCGGCCGCGGCCACAAGGACAAGCATGCCGCGGGCGCGAGCGTCTATCCGCCACCACGACTTAGTTTTTAATTTCGTGCTCGTCTCGAAAAACAAAAGGGGCGGGCGCGCCAGGTCCCCTTGCGCGCGCCAGTGGCTCAGCCCCACGCTCGCCGGCATGCTCGGCGCCACGCTCGCCGGCATGCTCAGCGCCACGCTCGCTGTCATGTTCAGCGCCATGCTCACCGTCATGCTCGTCGCCATGCTCGGCGCCAACGCTCCGCAGTACGGATCCACCGGGTGTGCCTGGCAGTCGGCGGCGCCGCGAGGGTCGCGACACGTGGCAGCAACCAGGACGTCCCGTCCCGTCCCGTCGTCCCGGGCCGGCGGCACCACTCCGCCCGGATTGGGTTTGTGTGTTTGTTTCCGCGTGGTCAGCGCTTCCGCGACCCCGCCTCCACATGGCGTCACGGGCCCCGCCTGCTCTGCTCGGCGTGAGGCGGGGTGCGGTAGGGCGGGAGAAAGGGAGCGGGCGGGCGGGGGTGTCAGCGAGGAGCAGAAGAGCAGCAGCAGCAGCAGCACGAGAGCGACGGGCGGAGGGGCCTTTCCGGGCGGCAAGTGCCATTTAATTTGTTCTCGATAAGAGGATCAGTTTGAATCTGTGAAAAAGGTTCACAAATTTCGGAGAAGAAAGTCAGGGCGAGGGCGAGAGAAAAAAGAGCCAGAGGAAAGAGGGGGAGAGAAGGAAGGAACGGGCGCAACGTGGCGCGCAGGCTCCGCTTTCTGAGGGACCCTCACAAAGGGTGCCCCCTCGCCCGCCTTCGGCCCCAAAATGAAAATTAGGCGGGTCCGGACGACTCACGAGAGACGGGCTACGCTTCCTCGATACGGCCTGGCTCATTTTTAAAAGGAGGCCCCCAAATAATTTTACGGCCCCAGCGCGATCACAGAGGCAGCCGTAAGCCCCTCCGTGCGCGCGCGCGTGTGTGTGGTGCGCACGTCTGTGTGAGCGCGGGGGCGGAGGGAGCGCGCGCTGAACACGTCATGTCCACCCTGCGCGATGACACAGCAGTCTCTGGTAAAAAGACAGAAGCCCCCGCCCAGCACAACCCAACCCCAGCAGCCTCGCCCAGCCCAGCCCCGCCCCGCCCTGCCCCCTTTGAAAGGCCGCTCATTTGTAACGCAATTCAACGTACTTCAGTGTTGTCTGCGCCAGAACAAAGCAGCCAGCGCAAAGAGAGAGGGGTTGGGGAGGGGGTTTGCACGACACACGCACGCACAGCACGGCGGCAGCGCGTCGCAGCAGGCCCTTGTGACGTCCGTCTGGCACATCACGGCTGCGCTCCAAAAGGCTAACGAGGCTCCCCGCCCCGCCCCCAGGGGGGCCCTGCGTCGCGACGCGCCGGGGAAGGGAATTCGATTATATGTCCAGAAGAAGGGGAGCGTGCTTGCGGGAGTGGCCGCCCTCCCTCCCCCTCGCCACGCCCGGCCCGGCCCGGCGGCGGACGTATGCACACGAGGCGTCACCGCGTCACTGATCAGCCCCGCCCGCCCCGCCCCCGCGCGCCTCACAGCCGTCAGCCGCCCGTGTTCTTGATCGGAGGGTCAAGCCTCGGCGCCCGTCCCTTCCCTTCTCTTCGGCCGGCCCGCCACTCACGCCAACCCGCAATCATCCGGCAAGCTCGACGTATGGGCCGTGGGGGCGAACCCTCTCCATATTGTATCCCTGACCTAGCACCGCTGCCGCCGGGCCGGGCCGGGCCGCCCAAGGGGACCGTGTGTCATATAGCGTGGAATATATGTGGCCCTGAGCTCTGGCGGGCCGGGCTGGGCCGGGTCGGGGCTGAGCCTGGCTGTGCTGTTCCGGGGGGGAGGGGGATAGAGTGCCGGGCGGGGGCAAAGGCTGGGCTGGACCCCCCGGGGGGAGTAAAAGACGATTCCGCCAAAACGAACGAACGTGCGTCATTCCATTTCAATTTGTCAATGGGACGTAAAAATGGGTCCCGGTGTGGCGGCCCCCCTGGCCATTCATCTCCCCGTTGGTCTGGGAAGGGCTGCAGGGCGGCAGGGCGGCAGGGCGGCAGGGCGGCTGCAGGGCCGCACAAGCAGCATCCCGGTCCCGATCGCACCTGATGTACTGTACGGGCGGGACGGGACGGGCGGGTGGAGATGACGCGCCGACTGATATGAAGGGGGCCCGTGCGTGTGACGCGCGGGGTAAATTGGGACGACGAGACGCAAAGTGAGGGGGGGTGGGGGGTTGATGGGGGACGACGTCGAGGCAGAGAGGCAGGCACCCCGGGGGCGCTCTGCTGGCGGGCGCGCCACTGAACCTGTCCGTCCTGGAAGGCCGCGACCATGTAGTATGACATCATAGGGGTGGGGGTGACCCGAGACTCGGGCGGGCCGTTCATTTGCCTTACAGTTTGACCTGCAGATGACCGGGGAGACAACGCTGGGGGATCGTGCAGAAAGCACGTCCGCCATACGCCGTTACGAAACTGCCAAGTTCAGCTCCCAAG